CGAATTACGTTCGTAAGTAGTTTTGAATTCTGTTTTTGAGTAGAGTGTCGAATTAAGATAATGGAGATGCATGTGTGACGATCTGCTGTAAGAATAGTTGTTTTAAGTATCGTTAAATAAGATTATCGTTAAAGAATAATAATAATAATAATAAGTTATAAGAATAATTAATTTGTTATAAGTATCGTTAGATGAGATTCGTAATCGAGATGATTACAGTTCACAGTTTATCAGTATGATTACAGTTTATCAGTATTGGTGAGTGTTTCAATGAGTTTGTGATCGTTTATTTGATTTGTCGTTTAATAAAAGGTTTTTAAATGAATTTGCAGGATCATTTGTTGGAGAAATATTCATCGAAAGATATTTCGTTCGATATTTGCAGCTGTCAGTTTTCATTTCATTATTGTTTCGAGAGTGAGGATAAGGCGAGACGTATGATTAGAAATGCGATTGAGAGGATTAGACCTGGGGGGTTTTTCGTTGGGACGTTGCCTGACGCTGAACGAATCTGGTTGGTTTTAGTATTATTATTATTGATCATTGTTATTATTATTATTATTGTTATTATTATTATTGTTATCATTATGTGTTATTATTGTTATTATTATCGTTATGTATTATTATTATTAATATTATTATTGTTATTATTATCATTGTTGTTATTAATATCATTAAAGTTATCATTATTATTTGTTTTTTTTATTTTTTATTATGAAGTTGAGGTATTGCATAAAGAATAATGGCACGAACGGTGTATATTCGAACGATGTGGTACGGTTAGAGTATGATGATAAAGAAGTGTTGAATGATCCGAATGGTAAACCACCAATATTTGGTGCGAAATTCCATTTTTCACTTGATACTCAGGTGAGGAGGAGTGTTATTGTGTGGATATTTGATATTTTTAACGGGGGGGGGGGAAGGGAAGGGCAGTGTTTTGTGAAGTTGAATTTATTTGAATGGTTTTATGATACTTTCAGGTGAATTGCCCCGAATACCTCGTGCACTTTCCTGTTCTGGAGAGGTTAGTTAACTTTGTGTTATTGACATAATCGGTTATGGAACAGCGATCCGTTAATTATTATTAAGCAACCGTTATTATTATTATTTTACGTATCATTAATTAAATAAATGAATTAATAAATGTATTATTACTATTATTATTAAAGGCAGAATATTATTATTATTACTACTATTCGAAGTGATAATGTATGATATGAGTTTAATATTGTTTCAACATTTTATGTATCATCAATTAAATAAATGAACAATTTTGAGGATTATTGAAGGCAGAATGAATATTATTGTTATTATCGTTATGAAGGTATTAAAGGTAATCGTTTTCAGATTACTGAATGAATGCGGAATGGAACTAATCTATAAAAAGCGTTTCCCAGATGCGATAGATTATTATTTAGGAATGCAAGAAGGAAGGGGTTTGATGGGTAGAATGCAGGCGTTGGAGCCGTATCCGCCATTCGAGGGTGTCAGGTGGATTTATTTGTTATTATTTATTATTATTATTATTATTATTTATTATTACCTGGATTGGCCAGGCTATCAAAAGTTTGTAACGTTGCTGGCCACAATGCTCGCGTTTCCGTGCACATTGTTTTAGCCTCAATTTACGCCACCCGGCTGGCCAGGCGAGCAGGCCAATCGAACACAACCGAGTAATTAATTAGTTGCCGTAAATACTTTGCATAATTAATCGTAGCCAAATATCAATCGAATAAATAATCATAACTTTAATAAAATAGATATTCCGCCGATCGCTCACAGCGATTGACAAAACGATTATTTATTATTATTATTATTTATTATTATTATTTATTATTATGCTTTCTTATTGTTGTGATTATTTCAGTTTGGTTGGTAAAGAGGATGAATACAAAGAAGTTGAAATAAAACGACAAAAAATTTTGCAAGAGCATCAACAACAGCAGCCGAATGAACGACATTCAACTGTGGTGAGAAGTTTTTGCTTTTGAGGATTTGCGATTTGTTTTGGAATGGAGTGTGGAATGACGAGATTGTGTTGGGAATGCTTTCAGGGTACTTTGTCGAAGTCTGAATGGGAAGTAACGGCGATGTATTTGGTGTTCGCTTTTCGAAAGAAAAATAATGCGAAATTGTGATCGATCGAAGTTTTCATCATTTTCAATTTTTGTCATCGTAAAAAAAGAAATGGAAAACGTTCGGAATGAAGAGGATTTGAAGCAATTTTGAAGGAATCGTTCGAGATTTTTCAATGGAATGTGAAGTTTTGAGTGTAACGTTTGGCATATTCATCATTTGTGAATGTGGTCGGGAAGGGTATCCGCACAATTCGCCTAAAGACCTTTTGCCTGAGGACAGTTTGCCTAACGACGGTTTTAATGAATATTTTGCCTAATAGGTTAATTGATCTTAGGCAAAACGTTTTTAGGCAAATTGTCCGGCCACGATCGGTGGGGGGGAAGAGGTGATACTTAATGGCACCGTATCACTGGCTTTGCTGAATGATTTGTTCAAGGCAGAAAGATATTCAATCGCCATTTGGTATTGTATCCAAAAATGGGAAACTGATAAAAAATCGGAGAATATTTCGTTAAGTGACTTTGTTCAATTTGTTGTTGTGGTATACTGTTGAATTGTGTATTGTGTGATGAGGCGAGTAATAAAATGTTTTGTATTTCGTCGTTTTGACTGGATCATGCTCAGAGCGCGTGATGCTGACCGATCGTTCTCATCGAAGAAAGGAGTCGATTTGTATATCTGATTGTTTTGCTTCCATTTCGGGATTATTTTTAATTGTTTCGTTCAATTTTTAAAATTACATCTTCATTTGTTTGTTTATCATTGGTGTTATTTGTTAAATGAATTTTGGTGAAGTTCGAGAGAGAGTTTCGGGTATTTCGGTCGGTTGTGTGATGTTTTGAAGTTTGATTTGGTTCGTTGATCGTGATTTTATTGCGTACAGTATATTTACAAACGTATATCACTGTATGTTTTCGTTGCTCTTTTCATGAATCGTAATAAGTTTAGTGTGGTCGGTTATAGCAATGGTGGTGATATTGATAGTTATTTCCGTCGATATTGTTGATTGACTTCGAATTGTTTGATATTTGTCATGATTATTCAGTGATAGAAATCGATTAGAAGCGTGATCAAAGTGAATTATCCATCGATCGATCACACGATGTTGGAATCGTGTCTTACGCTCGAACCGAGTCTCTCGGAATTCCACGACTATTCCATATTCAATTCAAATGCACCTGTTTATTTGCTTGGACATAAGTTCGCGGCTAGAGAGGGTTGGTTCTTTTGGGTGTTTATTGGATCGCAATTGTTTATTTTAAAATGAAATAATACTTTCGGAATGAAGGATTGCATTCGGAATCAGCTTGTGTCACGTCGAAGTGAAGTGAATTGCATCGAATGGTAACCGGTCAATCTGCCTAAAGCATTTAGGCTAATGACAGTTTGCCTAAAGACACATTGCCTAACGGACAGTTTGCCTAATTTACGGTTTTTTAATGAATATTTCGCCCAATAGGTAAACTGTTCCTTAGGCAAACTGTCCGTTAGGCAATGTGTCTTTAGGTAGATTAGCCGGTCACGGTTGCTATGAATTTTTAGTTTGAGCAAATGAAATGTTGAGAGATATATTGTTGGATTGAGGTATTGTTGAAGGGAATTTCAGATATGGATGCGATAAAAGACTACGTAACGTCAAGACTCTGGTTCACTTATCGTAAGAATTTCATGCCCATAGGTAATTTTTTGATTGCATTCGATTATGAGTGTTGTGATGAAAACAATTTGGAGGTTAATGAAATTAGTTTGAAGGGGGTACTGGACCGACGAGCGATCAGGGTTGGGGTTGTATGTTGCGGTGTGGTCAGATGTTGCTGGCACAGGCATTGATTATACGTCATCTGGGCAGTGATTGGACGTGGAAGAGGAACAACAAAGAGGACGAATATAAACGTATCATCAGAATGTTTCAAGACAAAAAATGTTGCTTGTTTTCGTTACATCAAATCGGTGAGATTTTGATCTGGTCGAATTGTTGATGTTCTTTTTAGTGTTCATTGTTTTTAACGTGCGATTACCTTCCGAGTGGTTGTTTGTTTTGTCGTTGTGAGCGATCGGCAGAATATTTATTTTATTAGAGCTATGATTACTTATTGGATTGATATTTGGCAACGATTAATTATGCAAAGTATTCACGGCAACTAATTAATTACTTGGTTGTGTTCGGTTGGCCTGCTCGCCTAGCCAGCGGGGTGGCGTAAATTGAGGCTAAAACAATGTGCACGGAAACGCGAGCATTGTGGCCAGCAACTTTACAAACGTTTGATAGCCTGGCCGATCCAGGTAATCCAGGATTACCTTGCGACCCGTCTTTTCTCTTTATGAGGGTGCAGGTCAACCGATTTCCATGTCTCTCTATGATGTGCAGACTTCCTGCAACGTTGACCGAACACTCTGACGAGTGATTCGTCCTATCTTGCACGTTGTGGTCTGCCTAGTGGCCTTCTCACTCCTCTTGGAATCCACGGTGTTATTTGACTGATCCAGTGATTATAGTTCATTCTCGCGATATGTCCTGTCCATCTTCTAGTGTTCATTTTAGCGGTAATAATAAGAAAAGATTGCAGCCCAGATGGGAGTATCCGAGAACAAACAAATCGGTGAATGGTTCGGTCCGAATACAGCCGCACAAGTGCTCAAGAAGTTGGTGGTTTATGATGAGTGGTCGAAGTTAGCCATTCACGTGGCACTGGATAATTTGCTGATTGCGAACGATGTGAAAACAATGGCACACACAAAACCTCCGTCTCGTTTGAGGTTTGTTTTTTGGTATGGTTGTTATGCACTTATGATGCGACACGACTACTTTACCAATTGTGTTTATTACAAACAATAAGTAGCGGTGATAGGGGACGCAATAGAATAATCAGACCAGGATTTGACACATAGGAAAACGACGACAACACGAGAACAAAAACTGATTTTACAACAACGAACAGGGTTTATATAAGTTACTGCTTATGACATTTGGCTATAAGTAGATCAACTACTATTGAATGTTCATACACAGCAATTATCATCGTTGTATCGTTTTTGGGGAATGTTAGTTATGTTACGATTGTTTTATCTCTTTTTATTAAGTTATCAATTTTCAGTTCGTCGAATGCAACAGACTCGTCGGATCAGTACGATGCGAGTGCTGAATCTTCGTTGTGTTCGGATGGTATTTTTGATTTGATTTTTTGATTTCGATGGAGAAGTTGTATGATTACGATAAATGAAGTTATAATAAGTTGAAGGTTCAGTTCGATTGAGTGCGATAATGAAGGAATGTGACGCGAACAAGTTAGGTTTGAAGATGGCTGATGAGATAAACGGTAACGAATGGCGACCGTTACTCATTATTATACCTCTGAGACTCGGATTGACCTCTATTAATCGATGTTATTTGGGCGCGATTGAGGTATGATGCTTTGTTATTAATAGTTTGATTGCGGTGCGATTGTAATACTGAAGGTATTGTTTAAGGCGTTCTTTCAACTGCCACAGTGCACGGGTATAATTGGTGGACGACCAAATCATGCATTGTATTTTATTGGAATTGTTGGAGATCAGGTTTATTTTGTTGTTGGTTGTGCCTTTTCGAGAATTGTTTTGTTGCTTTTGAATGGTTTTGCCTTACTCCCCTCTCCTTCCTCTCACCTGATTTACATTGAATTGTTTGTTTGAAAGTGGAATTTGTCATTATTACGCTTATATTCAAGTAACAATTAATTTGCAGTTAATTTATCTCGACCCACACGTTTGTCAGAATTATGTGGATCTGGATGATGTTGATAATTGTGCGTCGTTGGAGCAGCGAGATGGCTTCGTTGAGGTGATTTATTCAGTATTATTATTATACGCCTAGCCAGCGAGGTGGCGTAAATTGAGGCTAAAACAATGTGCACGAAAACGCGAGCATCGTGGCCAACAACGTTACGAACGTTTGATAGCCTGGCCAATCCCGTGATTATTGTTATCTTCGGTAATTACTGATATCATGAATTTGAGTTGGTGAAATCGGAGGAGACGTTCGACGACAGTTCATA